TCCTCCTCGCTCCTCGCTCCTCCCCCTCCTCCTCCCACTCCTCCTCCGCCTCCTCCTCCTCCTCCTCCTCCTCTGCCTCCTCCTTCTCCGCCTCCACCACCTCCTCCTCCTCCTCTACCTCCGCCTCCTCCTCCTTCTCCTCTTCCTGTTCCCTGTTCCTCCTCTTTGCTCCTCCTCCCTCTTCCTGCTCTCTCCTCCTCCTCCTCCTCCTCCTCCTCCTCCTCCTCCTCCTCCTCCTACTACTCATCGCCCCTCCTCCTCCATCCTTGTCCATCAGAAAAAAACTCCTCCATGTCCACCCCGCAACGTGTCGGCAGGGCAAGCTTGGCGTGCCGCTGGAGACCGTCTAACCATGTATGGCACTGAGCTTCACAGATGGCGGGCGGCTGGTTTCAAGCTGTGTTTTTTTGTCGGCAGCGCCGCTCACATGCGTCTTTGAAGATTGCAAGAATTTCCCGTCGCCTTCGCGTCGCGCACATAATTCTTGGAAGTGTGCAAGAGTTTCACGAAAGGGCGGGCTCCTTGCTGAGAATGCGGCTATCGCCTCTGCCCTGCGCACATTCGTGGTAAACATCGGCAACAGCTGCACGGATTGAGGGCGCGTCGTTGTCACAACGTAGCTCTCGCCGTAGCGCCGCGCACATCCGTCATGAAATAATCCCAGGGGCTCACGGGTGGAGGGCGGCTTCCTTTCTTCAAGCTGTAGCTCTTTCGTTAGCGCCGCGCACTTGCGTCTTAAAAGTTGGCATGACTTTCCAGGACTGCGGACTGCTCGTCTTCAAAATGTTGCTCTCGCCTTTGCGTCGCGCGCAATATTCTTGAATGTGCGCAAGAGCTTCACAGAAGGAGGGTGGGTTCCTTTTCTCAGAATGCGGCTAGCGGCTAGCGCCTCTACGATGCGCACAGCCGTAGGGAAAACCGGCAACAACTGCACGGATTGACGGCGAGCCGTTGTCAAAATGCGTCCTCGCCTTAGCGCCGCACACATCGGCCATAAAAGAATGCACGGGGCTCATTGATGGAGGGCGGCCCCTTTTCAAAATATGTTTCTCGCCTTGGCGCCCCGCACATTCGTCGTCAAAGCTTGGCAAAGCTTCACGGGTGAAGGGCGGGAGGTTTTCAAAATTTGGCGCTCGCCTCAGCACCGCGCGCATTCGTCTGAAAAGTGTACAACAATTTCACAGACGGCGGACGGCTCTTCTCAAAATAAGGCTCTCTCCTTGACACCGCACACACAAGTCTTAAAATTCCATACGTGTTGAAAGATTATTATGGATGACTGTCCAGGGATGGTGTTCTGGCACGAGGGCGCAACAGTCAAGCTGGGTCGCGTTGTTGAAGTCCCCTGAAGAGTTATCTGGCACGATTCCGTATCGTCATGACCCAGCAGTAAAATTGGTTCGCGGCGCTGCAGTCCGAGAAGTGGTGCTTGGCACGATTCAGGATTCTAAAACACTTTTCTTCCAACAGGGCACCGTCGGCAGTGATGACAGCTTCTTGCAGCGACCTATGAAGAGGGAGCTTGGAGCGAGGGTGTATTACAACATACTTGATGCGTCTTGGGTGTTCACTGCTCCTCCTCCCCCTTCTCCTTCGCAGGTCGTAGCCGTCACGGATAGTGCCAGCGAGCCCCGGCGCCCCAATAGCGGCACATCGGCGGCAGAGAACTCCCGCGAGCACCCGGAAGAGTGTCGAAACAGAGTCGAAACAGTGTCGGACGAGTGTCTCCCAGGGTACGACACGTGAAAACCCTCGAGTTTCGGTACTTTTGTTGGCGGGGCTCGACAAGCTTCCTGGTGATCAAGGCTAAAGGAGGTTGGAACATCATAAAGCTAGACTTGGACGGCAACTCCTGGGATGCCTTCAGAAGACCTCCTACAGGCGACCACACTGGGGGACCATTGACTAGCTCCAGATTGAGCTCCGAGGTGGGGCCGGCCTACCGTCGGGGCGCTGAGCAAAGCACCCTCTTCGTTGGGGACGGGCTCGGTGTGCCTTGATTGATTTTCGGCTTGCCTTGGGTTCTCCTTTGGTGTTCCATGGGGATCGAAGTTTAACTCATGGAAAATGGGGCCTCGCTCCTTGTTAGGGGTTCTTTAGGTCAACGCCCCGAGTGTGCGCGGAGTTCGTCGGGATGCGGCTGGACTTCGGCCACGGTTCTGCCAGCGCCGCTGCTGCACAGAACACGTGGTAGGAGTGGCGTCCCCAGGTCCTTTCTTCATAACGTCGACCTCAAAGGTCTGGACCCATTCCCTGGGACCGGTTTCGCGTCCTGAGTCGTTTTTTGACGGTCCCAAGGGCCGATTATGGCCCCCAGAGGCCGAAAATTATGAAAAACCTTCCGTCGTGATATTTTCACACCGCGAGGGGGTCTGGGGAGAGAGGGGAGGAGAGGAGATTGGTAGGACCCCCATCCTGCCAAGTCGACCAATGAGTTACCCTTTTTTCAGGGGGTGCTCTCGACAGGGCGCTGCGGACGCAGCATGCTCGCAGGCCCGCGCCCGCCGCGTCTGGTCCCTGGTCTGGTGGGTTCAGCTGGAGGGTGGTTTGCTGAAGGCGGTGGTGCTTACAGTCAACCCGTATCGCAAGGATGTGGGGTAAGGATGCAAGGGCCTTGGAAGCCCATTCCGAAGCTTTTCGAGCGGGGCGCGGCCAACGAAAGTGGCCAAGGATGGACCGCGGAGGCAAGGACGCAAGATAACCCTTGGAAAGGTTGCCCATCCTCACTATGTGGGTTGAACGTACTAGGTCCAACGGAAAAACGATCCGATCAAAAACACAATCACCAGACACCCCCCCGGACACCCGGACAACCTGTGCTGACGACCTACCCCGTGGACAGCCTCTTGGACAACCCGGCGGGGATCCGGACAACCCCACTGGGCAACCCCCCTTTGGACAAGCCTCCCAAGGATTTTTCTTCAATCGAATGTAGCAACCTTGGGGAGGAGGGTGACGGGGAGGATGGAGAAGCACGCAAGGGCGATGGTGATGAGGCGGGAAGGGAGGGTGATCGCGACGAAGGAGCGACAGGCACGCGCGTGAGGAGGTCGAAGGAAGGAGGAGACGGAAGGGGGCAGACGGTGAGGAGGACGAGCACCGAGGGCAGCCTGGAGCCCCCACAGAACCTGCTGGGTCCAATCCTCCCTCCTTCCTCCTCCATCTCACCCGTCTCGTCCATCTCGACTTCCTCCTCCTCCTCCTCCTCCTCCTCCTCCTCATCCTCCTCTTTCTTCTCCTCCTCCTCCTCCTCCTCACCCTCCTCCTCCTCCTCACTGTCTTGCTCCTTCCACGTTTCCCACCGCCTCCTCCTCTTCCTCCTCCTCCTCCTCCTCCTCCTCTTCCTCCTCCTCACCCTCCGTCATGCCTCCCCCCTCCTCTTCACCCATATCGCCCAAACGTTCCACTCCTCGAACTCCTCTCCACACCATCACCACACCATCTCCTATCACCCTTCACCCTCCTTTCCACACCATCTCCTCGAACTCATCCTGCTCGGTCCCCCTCTCTGCTTCCTCTTCCTCACGCTTCCCGCCATCTTTCCCCACAAATCATCTCCATCGCCCTCCTTCTCCCCCACGAGCCTTCTGTGTCCTCCTTCTCCATCCTCTTCCGGCTCGCCCCCCCCCCCCTCCGCAATCTCTGCCTCCTTTGACACATCGTCCCCTCTTTGTCACCCCCTCCCGAACATGCTCCCACTGAAGGCCATCATCCTCAGCCATGTCCGTGTCTCGGGGGCGCGTTCAGACGAGGATTTCAAGGCTGATCTTGCGGCGGCGACAGGAGCTCTCCAGGAGAGCCCAAACAACGCGATGCATTGCACAAACCCTGTCCACCTCCCCCTCCATCTCCCCCTCCTCCACCCAGCCTCCCCTCAATCATACTTCTCCCCATCCTTCATATCCACTCCTGCCGGTCGCAAGCCACTGACAAGGGGGCGGCAGACGGAAGTCGAAGCGACAAACCACTTCGATGAAACACGTAGACGTAGACGCGGAGAGGAGGCGGAGGAGGAGGGAGGAGAGGGGAGAAGGATCAAAGATCACACCTCAAAGCTCGATTGACGGAACAAGCAACTACATAAGCATAAACTGTTGGAGGCGCTGGCCCCAAACCACCCCTCCACACATCCAGCGCTGAAGAAATCCGTTGGGACGTGGGCAGTTAAAGTTCTTATCTGAACAGCTTGCCTGTAAGCTGCTGATCTGATGTTTATAATGGTTTCTATGTCTTGTACTCTTTAGAAGGCTTTCCGTGCTATGTTTTACTTCTGTAGTACTCTCTAAAACGCTCCCCGTTGTGAACATGTATTGGGCTGTATTCGGTCTCGAACGATTAATGCTTCCTGACGTCCCAGACATCCGAAGTCGTGCTGCTCCATAACTCCATAAACAGCTGTTCTGTACAGTTCGGGCGCGGCCACAAGACCCCAAGAAACCCAGACCTGAAAACCTGCGTGGAAGACGCACCTGGGGTGGGTGGGGGCCCTGAGCACCCTGACCGAAGCAGCTTATTTGACGGCCGCGGGAAATTACCGCGCAGCGCGCGGAGCGAAGAATCCCAGGGTACCCCGACGAAAAGCACCTGGATTCTTGATGCGCGTCCTCCCTGTACTGGTCCTGCATCATGCTTCTCGGGCCAGGTGCGAGGTCCCCCGGATCCGGAATCGGTGGCCGACGGTCTCCCGTAGGGTCGCCCGAAGGATCTCCTGTCAGGTCTCCCGCACGGTCTCCCGTGTGCGTGTGGTCTCTCGTATGATCTCCCTCCCGTATGGTCTCGCGCGTGGTTCCCCTTATGGCCTCCCGTGTGGTCTCCCATACATGGTCTCCATGTGGCCTCCCCTGAGGTCTCCCCTGAGGTCTCCCCTATGGCCACCCAAGGCTGTGCCCCTTCTCGTCTCCCTTCTTCTTTCCCTTGTGGTCTCGCGTATGGTTTCCCTTGCGTGGCGGACGACGTCCAGCGGAGGAAGCGCCCGGGAACGGGAGAGGTGCAGGCAGGTCCTCCTCTTGGCACGGCAGCGAGCAGCCCGCCTCCGCGGTCGGCCGGGAGGGGGCGGGGGGGATGTGGGATGAGGAGGAGGAAGGACGAGGAGGAGGAGGAGGAGGAGGAGGAGGTGATCCTCTGAGCCCTGAATCTTCCGTGACGTCCGATCTCGTGCGACGGCGTCCGGCTCTGTCGTGGCAGGCCGTGCCTGTCCGCGCTCCCCGGGGTTCCCCCCCTTCCCGCTCCCTCGTGCCGCGGCCGGACTGGAGAAAGGAACGCTGTGGGCCCCTCCCTCCCTCCCCTCCCTCCCCTCCCTCCCCCCCCTCCTCTCCCCTTCCCTCCCTTCCTCCTCCTCCCCCTCCTCGCCCCTTCCCTTCCTCGCCCTCCTCGTCTGCGCCTGCTTCTGTTGGGGGAGGGGCGGCGGGAGGTGGGGGCCTCGTCGGTGGGCCCAGAGGCAGGGCTCGCCACCTCTTCGGTCGCAAACAACGAGCTCCGAATCGGACCATCTGGACCAGGGGTCCGCCCGTTTGTAGTTGATGGTGCAGCTGCCCCGCAATTGCAAGCCTTTTGTTTAGCAGCGTTCACACAAAAATACGCTTTTGATGCAAAAGAAGATGTGTGCTTTCAACTGGGAAAATGGATCACGCCAGGAAGGCATGTCTCACTGTTGCTACCTTTATGGTGCAGATCCGCCAGAATTAAAAATCCTTGTGTGTGGAGATCTTATTACACGAGGATTACAATTGTGGGGGGTCTGCCGTGGCGCCACCTGGAGACCAGGAAAGCTCGAGAGGAAAACCAGGAAGCAACACGGAAGCCATGCGTCTGCACATGGAAACACAAGACAAAGCTGAGAAGACTGGTGACAGTCACTATTTTACGGTGCGGACACCCACAGCCAAAACCATTGTGTAGCAGCCTGCACAAAAAGGATTCTCTCGTGGCGATCTTACACAAGGAATTTACTTGTGGGGGACCTGCAGTGGCGGCACCTTGAGCCCCGGAGGCTCGAGAGGAAAACAGGACACACAGGAAGAGCACTGAACAAACCGAAATGTTCACGTCTGAGAAATGAAACAGCTAGGACATGCTGTAGGTGACGCTATACTTATGGCGCAGATTCCCCACAACGGATTTCCTTTTGCAACAGCCTTCACAAAAGGATTCTTTTGTGGCGATCCTACAAGAGAATGTATTCTGGGGGACCTGCCGTGGCGGAACCTTGAGCCCATGAGATCTCGAGAGGAAAACAAGACACACAGGAAGAAACAATAACATGTATTCGCTCTTACATTGCATTTTTGAAATAAAAAGCCAGGACAACCTAATATTGTCTCTCTCTATACATATATATATATACATATATATCTTACAGATCACCCACAACTCAAGTACTTGTGTAGCAACATTCACAAAGGGATTCCTTGTGCGGCGATCTTTCACAAGTATTCTACGTGTAGGGGGTCTGCGGTGGCGGCAACTTGAGCCCAAGAAAGCTCGAGAGGAGAACTGGAAAACGTGAAACCCATGACAAAAAATGTGATGCCTTGTTGTACAGGCTGCTACAAAATGATTTGGGTTGTGGTGGATCGGCACCACAAAGATAGCGACGCTCACAGATCTCTTTTGCTTAATTTATTTGCTATCGCTTTTCCTCTTGTTCCTGTTTTCCCTGTAGCTCTCCTGGGCTCAAGGTGCCACCACTGCAAATCCCCCACACTAGAAATCCGTGTGAAAGATTGCCACAAACAGAATCCTTGCGTGAAGGATGCTAAACGAGGTTCTTACCTGTGGGGGACCTGCACCATAAGTATAGTGACAGTCGCAGGTCGTCCGGGCTGTCTCTCATTGTCTATGTGACAACACAAAGTATTTAGTGCTTTCGTGTTGTTATCTTGCTTTCCTCTCTAGCTGTCCTGTGCTCGATGTGCCGCCACTGCGCATCCCCCATAATTCAAAATCCTTTTTGCCGGATCTTCGCCAAACAAGGGATCCTCTTGTGAAGGCTGCTACAAAACGATTGCATGTGTACGAGATCTGCATCCAAAAAATAGCGACAGTCACAGGTCGTCCTAGCTGTTTCCTTCATTTCCATATGAAAACACTCGTTTTGTTGTGTGTTCCTGTGTGTCCTGTTTTCCTCTCGAGCTTTCCTGGGCTCACAATCCTTTTCGTGAGATCGCCACAAACGGAATCCGCTTGCAAAGGCTGCCACAAACGGACTCTACGTGTGGGGCGTTTGCAAAATCACCAGACAGCTCGCCCCTTGGCCCCCCGCCAGCCCGACGCAAAGGGGCGAGCATATATACGGGCGCAGCACCGCGCTGGATGCGTAGCCGTCGGCTGGGCCAACCAAGCGAATGACGCATCACGTGGCGGCTGGATGCCCGCGCCGAGCACAGATATTCTCGGTTCCTCCCTCCTCCTTCCCCTCCTCCTCCGCGGGCTTAAAACTGCCATCGAAATATCCTCACCCGCTGGCTTAAAACTACCACCGAAATATCCTCACCCGCGGGCTTAAAACTGCCACCGAAATATCCTCACCCGCTGGATCAAAGCAGCCACAGGACTATCCTCACCCGCTGGCTTAAAACTGCAACCGACATATCCTCACCCCCGGAAGTGAAACTGCCACAGAAATATCCTCACCCGCTGGCTTAAAACTGCCACCGAAATATCCTCAACCGCCGGCTAAAAACTGCCACCGAAATATCCTCACCCACTGGCTTAAAACTGAAACCGAAATTTCCCAACCTGCTGGCTTAAAGCTGCCGCCGAAATACCCTCACCCGCGGAAATAAAACTGCCACCGAAATTTCCTCACCCGCTGTCTTAAAGCGCCACCGAAAAATCCTCACCCGCTGGGTTAAACTGCCAGCGAAATGTCCTCACCCGCTGGCTTGAAACTGCCACCGAAATATCCTCACCCGCTGAAATAAAACTGCCACCGAAATATCCTCACCTGCTGGCTTAAAACTGCCACCGCTCGATAACACTCGAGAACACATCGATAACACCTCATGCTATCGAGGTGTCATCGAGTGTTATCGAGGTGCTCTCGAGCGTTATCGAGCTCGATTACACTCGATAGCACCTCGATAACATCCCGAACATATCTCGAAAACATGTTATCGACGTGTTATCGGGTGTTATCGAGGTGTTATCGAGCGGGTGATGGTCACCAGCTGGCTTAAAACTGCCACCGCAATATCCTCACCCGCTGGCTTAAAACTGTCACCGAAATATCCTCACCCACTGGCTTAAAACTGTCACCGAAATATCCTCACCCGCTGGCATAAAACTGCCACCGAAATATCCTCACCCGCTGGCTTAAAACTGCCACCGAAATATCCTCACCCGCTGGCTTAAAACTGCCTCCGGAATATCCTCGCCCGCGGAAATAAAACTGCCACCGAAATATCCTCACCTGCTGGCTTAAAACTGCCACCGATATTTCCTCACCCGCTGGCTTAAAACTGCCACCGTAATACCCTCACCCGCGGAAATAAAACTGCCACCGAAATATCCTCACCCGCTGGCTTAAAACTGCCATCGAAATATCCTCACCCGCGAAAATAAAACTGCCACCGAAATATCCTCACCCGCTGGCTTGAGACTGCCACCGAAATATCCTCACCCGCTGGCTTAAAACTGCCGCCGAAATACCCTCACCCGCTGGCTTAGAACTGCCACCGAAATATCCTCACCCGCGGGAATAAAACTGCGACCGAAATATGCTCATCTGCCGTCTTAAAACTGCCGCCAAAATACCCTCACCCGCAGAAATAAATCTGCCACCGAAATATCCTCACCCGCTGGCTTAAATCTGCCACCGGAATATCCTCACCCGCTGGCTTAAACTGCTACCGGAATATCTTCACCCGCGGAAATAAACTGCCACCGAAATATCCTCACCCGCTGAAACACCGAAATATCCTTCACTGCTGGCTCAAAACTGCCACCGAAATATCCTCACCCGCTGGCTTAAAACTGCCACCGAAATATCCTCACACGCTGGCTTAAAACTGCCACCGACATATCCTCATACGCGGGCTTAGAACTGCCACCGAAATACCCTCACCCGCTGGCTTAAAACTGCTACCGACATATCCTCACCCGCGGAAATAAAACTGCCATCTAACGGCCTGGTGGTTCAGTTCAGTCTGTCTACCTCGCGAAAATCAAATTACGGGCTGCGCCCGTAAATCAGGAATGTTGGTTCAGTGTGGGGGTCTTCGACAAGCATGTGCTTGTAATGACACAAACGGCACGCGCTTGGCAGACAATCGCCCAAGACGTGCTGGATCGACCCAGCACGAAACTGATCATGACGCGTGCGATGCAGCTCATCGTGATGGTGATGATGATGATGATGATGGTGGTGGTGATGCTGATGATGACGATGTTGATGGAGAAACTGATGGCGATGCTATGACGAAGAAGCACATGAAAGATACCATAATGAGACGGACGTGCAAAATATGAGACCGGAGGACCCCGCAGCCTTTCCCTCTCCCAGACTGCGGGGGCCAGGCGGGTTGGGTCTGGCTGGCTGCAGCGATGTGGAGTTATACGCGCGCTCTGACCCTTCCCATCTCGTCTTCTTCTCCCAGCTCGGGCTTCAACCATCTCTCCCTCAGTGCATGAATGAACAAATGAATGAACGAATGCATGAGGCAGAGGAGGAGAAGGAGAATACTGACGACGACGACGCGGGAACGAAGGCAAGAAGCGGGACCCAGACCTCCGACGACCTGCTGTCTTCAACCTGGGCGATGCTCCTCGACGTCGGCCTCCGGGGCCCGCTCTCGGACCCCCATAGGTCCATCCAAAGTGGACCCAGAGGCCGAAAGCCGCGAACAAAAACCTCCCGCCGCGATAGTCCCGCAAGGCGAGGGGGTCTGGGGAGAGAGAGGGCAGGAGAGGAGATTGGTAGGACCCCCCAGTCGGAGGATCGCGCCGCATCGCCAATACATCTACGATGCATCGGCGATGCATCCATGATGCACCGGCGATG